AAAGTTAACTTGAACAAGATATGTTAGTCTTATGCAAATATGCTGGGTTTAAATCTGCAGTAATTGAGAACCCAGCTCTATTTCTGACTTGAGACACTGTACAAATCATTCTTTTTTTTTTAGACTAGTGAAAATTATTTAATTCTTTTTTTATTGTGAAAATATCATACAGAGGGGTTACAATTACATGGGCGAGGTAATGAGTACATTTCTTATCAAGCATTGTTGCCTCCTCCTTTGTACAAATCATTCTTTTGTCCAACCTTTCCCTCCTAGAGCAAAAGGTTATGCGAATATAAAATTTGTTAGTGTAGCAACTAGCAAACAAGAGGGACAAATGCAGTAAGAATATTCAATGTACATATGTGATCAAGGCAGCAGAAAACGTGAAATGAGTCTAGGTGGGAGGGAACAGACAAGATGCAGTAGACTAATAGAAGGGATGACTCTGATCAAGAAGCACTGGAAACTTAGATGAACATGTTGACTGTAACAACCTACTTAAGTTCAGGGGAGAATAAAAGGAAGATCAGCAGAGATTTCTCTCAAATTTTGATGACCACAGAGGAATTTTAATTTAAACTTCACAAATACCATGATCATATCATGTTCTTGCTCTACTTAAATAGTAAATTCAATCTCTTTTTCTTCCTTGTATGTCTTTTTAACAACTTCTTTCCCAAAATTATGCAAAGGCTCTTTCTCAAAATCCTAAACAAAAAATCCAGGAAGGAATCCTGATTGTGATGATCTTTGTAGGCAAAATGCCTAAAAGCACAAGGATCTGAAATGACTTGTGATAAAAGCTATTTGTTTCCTTTCTAATATGAGAAACCTGGATGAATGAGAGAACAGTAAGAGCCCCATAAAAAAGAGGAGAGGGCTAAGAGTGTAGGCAAACTTACCATGCCTGAAGCTGGGGTCCATTACAAAAAGAAAACAGGGGCTAGAATGTGGCTTACTGGTAGAGTGCTTGCATAACATACATGACACCCTGGGTTTGATTTACATAAACAGAAAAAGCCAGAAGTATAACTGTGGCTCAAAGTGCTAGCCTTGCATTGAACATAAAGAAGCTCAGGAAGAGTGCCCAGGCCCTGAGTTTAAGCAGGAAGAAAGAAAGAAAGAAAGAAAGAAAGAAAGAAAGAAAGAAAGAAAGAAAGAAAGAAAGAAAGAAAGAAAGAAAGAAAGAAAGAAAGGAAGAAAGGAAGAAAGGAAGGAAGGAAAGGAGAGAAAGAAAGAGAAAGAAGGGGGGGCAGAGAGAGAAGAAAAAAAGAAAGAAAGAAA